AATGATTCTCTCTCATCACTGATGTTTCTATTTCTCTCTCTCCCTTCCTTATATATATTATATAATTTTTTAAGTAAGGTCTCCTAAGACAAATTGATCTGCCAACCACTAGACACGTGAATTAAGCTATGAAGACCCAGCAGAGCTGACAAAGGTAAAAAGAATTTGAAGAAATAATTTTAAACCATTAAGCTTTGAGGGCTTTTGTTTTCTGCAGCAAAAGAAGTGATATAGATAGGTTACAAACTTTCAGCAAAAATCTGTATGTACATTTCTATTCTAAAATAGATTTTTATTATAGTTGATTGATATTACACCACTCACCTCAGAACCCCATTAGAAAAATAACATGAATTATTGACACAATAGTAATTCCACCTGTTCTTCAAACTTTTCAAGCAACTTGCAAGGATAATAGATGAAGATGGAAAACCAAAGTACAGGATGTTTTGATCCTTGGTCAGTGTTTTGAGTGTGTGTGTGTGTGTGTGTGTGTGTGTGTGTACACATATGTACATATACACAAAAACCTCAAATTAATTTTTAGTGTCTCAAGGATAAAGGCTGAACAGATACAAAATGAATGTTTCTGAAAACTACATACAGAGTAATAGTATAAAAATCATAGAAATTACTCATAACCTGTCATCTTTTTGTTTCCAAAGAATTTAAGGCAAATTATCTTGATTGCTCTGATTTTATTATTTAAAATAAAGAGTGAGAAGGGGACTAATCTCCTCAGGATACAAACCCAACATGAATATTTTTGGTTTAGGTTCCACAAGCTACGGTAGTCAGGGCCATCAGGTAAAACAATCTGGGGAATGATATTTACATTATTGTGAATGGCTGCAGAGACAATTTATGCAGTCATACAGTACAGTGGCCATGCTGGTAGTATTTATTCTTTTGGTCTGATCTAAACCTGAAACTGAAATTATGGAAACCTATCTGAAAATTCAAACTAATGGGTTTTTATTTTTTTAAAATATATTTTTATTGATTTCAGAGAGGAAGGGAGAGGGAGAGAAAGATAGAAATATCAATGATGAGAGAGAATCATTGATTGGCTGCCTGAACGCCCCCTACTGGTGATTGAGCTGCAACCCAGACATGTGCCCTGACCAGGAATCGAACCATGACCTCCTAGTTTATAGGTCAATGCTTAACCAGAGAGACACCCCAACCAGGCATTAATAGGTTTTTATTTACAGTTCAAGCTCCACCATTTGCAAAGGTTACAATATTAAATTAATAATACAAAATACAAATTTTAACATTATTATATACATTTTATTTTGTCTATTAAAAATGTTAATTACATATACTCATTACCATTATAATGAACTTCTTTCTTTGACACTGCTAAATATATTTTCCAAATAAAATTAAATGAAAAGAATAAAGGTCAGATTCCCAATCTTCTCTATCAACTCACTCTCTTCTCATACATTAACTAGAACAGGTTCTACTGAAACCTAAGCTATTGAACTTAGTTAATGAAAAGTCACCAATGACCAAACCATCCAGCTTTATTTCTGAGCAATCACTGGAACATGAATTGGCTTTATTACCCACAACTTATCTTTGTTATCACTGATATTAAGTGAAACTTAATAGCCAATACTGATAACTCTCTTCCCCTAAAATACTAATACACATAACTCAATTAATGTTATCATCTCAACCAATTCTTTTTTTTAATCTCACCAATTTATTTGTTTATTTATTTTTTTAATATATTTTACTGATTTTTTACAGAGAGGAAAAGAGAGAGATAGAGAGCCAGAAACGTCGAGAGAGAAACATCGACCAGCCGCCTCCTGCACACCCCCCTCCGGGGATGTGCCCGCAACCAATGTACATGCCCTTGACCGGAATCGAACCCGGGACCTTTTAGTCTGCAGACCGACACTCTACCACTGAGCCAAACCAGTTTCGGCTCAACCAATTCTTTAAAAAAAAAACTATTTTTTATTGATTTTTTTACAGAGAGGGAGAGAGAGATAGAGTTAGAAACATCGATGAGAGAGAAACATCGGTCAGCTGCCTCCTGCAGACCCCTCACTGGGGATGCGCCCGCAACCAAGGCTCATGCCCTTGACCAGAATCAAACCTGGGACCTTTCAGTCCGCAGGCTGACACTCTATCCACTGAGCCAAACCGGCTTCAGCTCAATCAATTCTTTTGAAGACAAATTATCATGTTAGTATGTAAGCTAATTCATAAAACATCATCAAAATATATAGATTCGCTATGTGATTCTACTAAAAAGCAGGCATGATAATGCCATAGATAAGAAGAAGGGGGATACTGGAAGAGAAATGAAGTGTAAGATACATTTTTAATTTCTGAAGATGAATGTTAACATCAGTCTAAAAGGTGTTCTGAGCTTCCAGAAAGTGATTAACAAAATGAAGTCCTTAAATTTCTAGAAATAGACCTAACAAAAGATGTGCAACGTTTGTAGGCTGAAAACCAAAATATATTGAGAAAATAAATGAAGGGAAATAACATCATAAAAGACTGGAAGATTCAATATTGTGAAGACATCAATTCTACCCAAACTTATCTATAGTTTCACTATAATCACAATCAATATCCAGCAGATTTCTCTGTGGAATCTGACATGCTGTCAAGTTTATGGAAATATAAAGAATCAAAAAAATCTTGAAGACCAGCAAAATTGATAAACTTATTCTACTAGATATCAAGAAAGTTATATAAAGTCACACCAATTCAGTCAAACCAAATAATGAAATTAAAGTGAGCCCAGAAACCCACACCTATGTGATCAATTAAGTTATAACTAAGGTAACAATGCACTTTAATGGAGAGTAATTTTTTTTTGAAAATAGTTGAGGCCACTGAATACCTTTTGAAAAAATATGAACCTTGATCTTCATCTCATATCATATACAAAAATTAATTCCAAAAGAATTATATAGATTTAAACATGAAAGGTAAAACAATAACAGTTTCCAGAAAATCTTAGGAGAATATATTAATAACTTTAGGGTAGTTAAAGATATCTTAAATAGGATACAAAAAGCACTAATCATACATGGGGGTGAAAAACCTTATAAATTAGTTTACATTTAAAAACTTCTAATAATTGACATTCTTAAGAGTGAAAAAATAAGCTACCAAGCAAAAGGAAGTATTTGCAATACATGTAGCTGACACAATTCTTATCCACAATAATATATAAAAACCCCAACAAATCAAGTAGAAAGAAAAAAAAAAAAGCCAATTGGAAAATGGGCCAAAGAGTACACTAGGTACTTTTACAAAAAGAAGATATCCAACTGAACTATCTATATATATATATAAAACCTTTTTAAAAAATATATATATTTTATTGATTTTTGTACAGAGAGGAAGGGAGAGAGATAGTTAGAAACATTAATGAGTGTCATCGATCAGCTGCCTCTTGCACACCCCCTACTGGGGATATGCCTGCAACCAAGGTACATGCCCTTGACCGAAATCGAACCCGGGGCCCTTCAGTCCCCAAGCCGACGCTCTATCCATTGAGCCAAACCGGTCCCGGCTATCTATATATATAAAACCTTTTAAAGGTATATGCTCTTGACCGGAATCCAACCTGGGACCCTTCAGTCCGCAGGCTGATGCTCTATCCACTGAGCCAGACTGGCTAGCTAGAGCAGCAGTGGCCTTTTAAATGGGTCCACATTCTCTTTCAAAAGCCAGCAGACTTCATTCTGCCTCTGCTTTCTAAAATAATATATGGGGTGTCCCCCAAAAAAAGTATACACAGACTTTGATTATGAAGGTAATGTTTATTAAAATAAATTTCATTTTCAGTGTATATGAAAATTTCATTTCATTTCAACAGCTATCAGCTAAAGTCTGTATACATTTTGGGGGAAAAACTTGTATCATCACCTTAGAGAAGGAAAGGATATAGAAATTAGCTTAATATATGCAAATTTTCTCACATAATCACACAATTAACTAATGATCCTCTTATTCCACAATATATTTAACTAGAGGCCTGGTGCATGAAAATTCATGCACTGCAGGGAAGGTCCCTCAGCCTGGCCTGCCCCCTCTCACTGTCTGGGAGCCCTAAGAGGTGGGAGGCGACCCAGCAATCAGGGAAAGGGATTACCCCATCACACTTCTTCTGCTGTCACTGCCGACAGCGCAAGCCTTTGCCAGCCCTGGTTACCTGAGCCTCTGGCGGCCCTGGATGGCTGGGCAGCTGCCATCCAAGGTGTGCCTGTGCCGCAGTCTGACCCTGGGAAGCTGGGGGGCTGTGGGGACTGGGGGACTCAGGAGGCAGGTATGCAGAGTGGCCAGGCCCACTGCCAGGCCTGCTGCCAAGGCAGGGCTGAGAGGACTGAGAACCACCATCTTGTGGCTGTGGGTACTACCATCTTCGAGGGCATGGCAGTCAATTAGTATATTCCCTTGTTATTGCCTTTGGGTGTTGCCATCTTTGAGGGTGGGGCAGTCAATTAGCATATTCCCTTCTTATTGCCTGTGGGCACCACCATTTTGTGATGGTGTGAGGGTAATTAACATATTCCCTCTTAATTATTTAGGATAGTCAAAATTTATTCAGCATCTACTATGTGATGGATCCAGTACAAATACTTTTAAAGCATTGTCACACAAACCAAGAAGATAATTTTAGGCGATTTTCAGATAAGAAAACTGTTTTAGGACTAGAAAATACATGGCTGAATTCATTTAATTTCCAAGGTCAATCCTTGCAAAAGAAAACAATAGAATCTTAATTATTTCATAAATTACCTTAAGGAAAAAAAACGTAAGTAGAAACTAATTTAAATTGTGATGTTCACATTGAGAATGTATTTTATTAACATTCCCAAGAGGTTTCATTTCATATATAGTCTTACCTTTTTATTTCAAACCTATAGTGAAAAGAGAAACAAAGAACAGAAACTTGTCTAAAACATAATTAAAAGTTTCTTTAAAAACAAACAAAAAAAACACTAAAAACCTCTTACCTGAGCATGAAAATTGGACATAGTTGTTGTCTCTATATCCTTCTTTCCCAAAATCTCCATTTTCACTGGTGAATTGGGAAAATTAAATGAAAAGTAGTCTAAAAAGTCAGGTAAATAAGCAGCTGCCCCATGAACAATGCCCATTACATAGAAAGCTGCAGAGTTTTCATTTTCACTGAATACTAGACCCACAAACTCTTCTGCAAACCTCTCCATCTCCACAGGAGACAGGTGAGTGAGTTCATTACTGTAGGCATGGATAACTGATGCACCTCCATTAGGCTGGTGCTCAATATGAATCAGTTGTCTGAACTCCAAAGTGTCCAACCTTCTGAGATTATTCTGAACCCGTGGCTCCTTTAATGAGACAAATGGAAGCTCACTGTTCTCTGTAAGTTTGGAGCTGTGGTTCTTGGTATCCAAATTCTTTCCACCATAATCCTTTATGTTATCATTTAGGATGCCTTTGGCTTCTTGATCTTCAACATCAGATAGCAATCCTGAGCAGATGGTTTGAATAGATTTGCTATACATTTTTGGATGCTTCCGTTTTTCATTCTCTTTGTGTTTCTTTTTCTTTTTCTTCTTTACCTTTTTAATTTGTAAGTCTTCTACATTTGTTTTTGGTTTCTCCTTCCCACCTATCGGGAAAAAATTTTTTATGAAACTCCATATTTTAGTTTCTTAAAAAACCATGCGTTAGGAACTGTTTTATAAATAATAAGCAAAGTTAACTCAAAATTAAGTTTATCTTTGGGACTCATTTATACTAAGTTATTCTATATCCCACATATATGAATATATGTGGTATAGTCATAAAAGTTATTTTTTCCATTTATAGGATACTGTATTTAATAGGTCCTGAAGGACATTCTATGAGTGAAACAAATAACTTCTATACAAATTCAAAGTGAACCGATACTTTTGTCCCCATCATGTGTCCCTCATGGCATCTAGAAGACTGTTATCAATGAACGTTTAATAAATCTATGAATGAAAAGATTTCTCTTACCAACAGACTACCTGAGGTTTATAGGTTTTTCCCTTGCCTCCTTTTCAGTCAAAGTTTTCTACCATATGAATACCACTTACTCCTAACCCTGAAAACAAAACATCTCTCAAGTTAATAGCAATTCTAAAAAGGGAAAGTTTAATGTTAATAATAAACTATCACTTTTAAAAATTCGTAAGTATGCAATAAAGACCAAATTGGTATCATGCAAAGCAAAAATAACAAGGTGTCAACATTATTTTTTACATAGGTTTATAAAGTCATAAAATGCACTAAAGTCATTAATTACCTAATAAGTCTATGTGCAACTACTTAAGAAATATATTAACAAATTCATACTTGCTTTCTTGGTATAAACTAAACATCAGATTCAGACTAATATCTTCAGAAAAAAATTAAATGAAATAATGAAATAATGAAAAAGGAAAACAGGGAGTTAATAAAAATGAAAGATAAAAGAGGTTCATATATGTAAGCCAAATCCAAATGAGTCAAGGAAAAAAAGAGTAGCCAATTAAAAAACAACTTAAGTATATAATTAATAACTAAACTGGAAAAACATGTAAAATTGGACAAATTAAATGGCTTGTCAAAATAAACAGAATTTCATTTAAATAAGTTTCATATAATTACATATATGCCTAACATGTTACTCATAGTATACATGTTACTCTGAAATAAAATAGGCACAATAGTTATTTCCTAGCCATGAGAATGGATGAAAAAATAGTATAAAAGTCAGAAACTAAAAAATGCAAACCAGTAAATCAGTCAAGAGATTCTTATATTGAACATCAAGGAATTAAATTCCCATGACAAACTACACTGTAATTAGATAATAAAGTGAGCACAGCGTGCAGAAAGGAGTTAATATGGCATGCTTGCAAGGTTGGCCATTAGCTGGCATCTGAGAACTTGTATTTTGGGAAGGTTCCCATCATTCCCTGATACAAGTGACTCAATGTACCTAAACTGATTGTGAAACAATGCAGTTTATTTCAAATACCTCTTTCCCTCTGGGAGTCTGGAATTCTGATACAAGCTATAGAGAGGGTGACTTTTTACCAGCCCCCAATTAAAACCCTGGGCATTTAGTCTCTAAGGAACTTCACATGTGTTGTTACAATTCACTGCTAGAATAATAAAGTGCATCCTGAGTGACTCCCCACTAGGAGAGGACTCTTGGAAATTTGCACCTTGTTTCCTCCAGACATCACCTCATGTCCCTTTTCTCTCTACCGATTTTACTCTGCACCCTCTACTAAACTAAATCATAGCCATGAATCAACTATATGCTAGTCTGGTGTGTCCTAAATTTTTAAAATTTTATATAGTCTCTTATTCATTTCCTGTTGGAATGACATACAAAACGCAATAGATGTATATGAAGGAAATTTTTAAACACTTTAAAACAAGACCATTTTGAGTATCAATTTTCTTCTAATAAAATAGAATTGCTGTTTACGTAACTGGGACCCTCAAGAAGTGTAACAGTAGCCCTAGCCGGTTTTGCTCAGTGGGTAGAGCATCGGCCCTATTGACTAAAGGGTTCCGTGTTCAATTCTCCAGTCAAGGACACATATCTCAGTTGCAGGCTAATCCCTGGCCTTGGTTGGGGCATGTGTGGAAGGCAACCAATCAATGTGTCTCTCTCACATTGATGTTTTTCTCCCTCTGTTTTCCCCCCTTCCTCCCACTCTCTAAAAATCAATGAAAAAATATCCTCAGGTGAGGATTAACAACAACAAAAATGTGTAACAGTAAAAGGTTGATGGGGGACCCTCCTCCCACAGGTCCACAAATACACGCACACAGTGGATCCCAGAGACACATACACAGAGCACCACAAACCAGAGAGCTAGAGAGAGAATCAGACACAGAGAAAAATGCAGACACATACAAAGCCAGAAAGAGACACACAGAGACAGAAAAAAACCCATACACAGAGATACAAACTGTATGTTATAATAAAATATAAATATATATATATATACACACACACACACACACACACACACACACATATGTGTATATATATATTTCAAAACAACCTTTAAGAACACAAATTAACTGGCATTAATTGCTGCCATTAACTTTAGTATACTTTAATGATAATTAAAAAGAAGATTGAATCTGATTTCATATCTAATATAGGAATCAATATATATATAACTCTGTTATCATACATAAGAAAGTAATAGTAATTAGCTTAGCTATTTTCAACCTTCGATCTTTGGAGAATGACTGCTTTTTCCACCTGTTAATATTTTCACTCTTCCTGAGATGATTTAGCTACCTGTGACCTTTAGTACACTACCATTAACCTTGGACATTGGCTTCTTTAACCCCTATTCCAACTACTTTTTTTTTTTTAAAGATATATCTTATTGATTTTTTTACAGAGGGGGAGAGAGGGACAGAGAGTTAGAAACATCGATGAGAGAGAATCATCGATCAGCTGCCTCTTGCACACCCCCTACCAGGGATGTGCCTGCAACCAATGTACATGCATGCCCCAGCCATAATTGAACCTGGGACCCTTCAGTCCGCAGGTCGATGCTCTATCCTTCTGACTCTCTATCCTTCTCCCTTCCTCTCTGTGGAAAATCAATAAAATATATTTTAAAAAAACAAGAGAGAAAAAAAAAGTTGAAGTCCATAAAAAAAAAAGGGGGGGGGGGGCACAGTTATACATACTGTCCCTACCAAATCGATTCTGCTGCTGCTCCAGGACACCAATGACAAAGGATACCTTTCCCTGATGAAGGCTCTCTTGGGAAATGGCCACACACACACACACACACACACACACACACACGGCAAATTGTTTTTGCTATATAATAACAACAGCTAACACTTGGTGCTTACCATGGGACAGGTACTGTTTCCCAAAATGAATCAAGTTTTTATTCATTTAATTGTCTACTAGCAAATGAAGAGAGGGGAGTTTGTTGTTTTTTAATCACAAGAGTTAATCTTTCATACGTTTACAAGATTCTCATCCATTTATTAATATTAAACTAGAGGCCCGTTGCAGTAAGATTCCTGCAAGAACAGGGCTTCCAACAGGCTCCCCCCCTCCCCCCCTCCCCCCTCCCCCCCACGCTTTCCCTGCTGCCCCTGCCCCACCCCCTACCGCACGCTTTTCCTCCCGCCTCCGATGCCCCCCGCCCTCCTCGCTTTCCCTCCCGCAGCGACCTCCCCTGCACTTTCCCTCCCACTGCCACCAGTGCTTTCCCTTCCCACCTTCCCACCCGCCATCTTTGCACCTCACCCCCTGCTTTCCCTCCTGCCACCACTGCCCGTGGTTTGCCGCCGCCTGCCATCCCGCCTGCGCTTTCCTTCCCCAGCTGCCTTGCTTTCCCTTCGTCCTCCTTCTATGCTGTCTTCAGTCTTCACTCCTCCCTCCCTCCGCTTATGCAAATTAACCACCATCTTTGTTGGGTTAATTTGCATACTTGCTCTGATTGGCTGTGGGCTTAGTGAAGGTATGGTCAATTAGCCCTTTTCTCTCTTATTAGTGTAAATATCTGAGGCTCAGAGACTGTTGTTGGCACTTACAACCATGTAAGGCAGTAACTACAGTATTACTTAACTTTCCCACTTTACAGTAAATACATTTTCCCCTTGTCACTCCAAAAGTCACCAATTCCTTTCCAAATACACCTCAATTTTCCCCCCCTTATCATCACTAGATTTCAGTTTAACTTAGTTCAAAATATCTCCTAAATTAAATTGTTTATCTACTTTAAACTCAAGGTTACTATTTCATATTACTGGGGGAGAGGGGCAGAGAAACACTTTTATTTTTAAGATTATTTTAAATTTTGTTTGCATATGTAATCTCTAGATTCACATATTTAACATTAATTGTATGCTAGAAATCTAACATTTAACCGAATGGCAGGAATTTACATGACTGTACATTTAAATGGGTAAGAAAAAGTGACTACTATTTGAATAAACCATTAGGGTAAAATTAAGTAAACATTTCCAGCATTAATCACTAGCCGCTGTGCAGATAGCTTTGGTGTGGTAGATTTGACTCCTGCCTCAAAGGCTTACAATCTAATTAGACAACATAGGTAAAATACATTGCAAAAGGGCAATGAGCATTAACTAAGTAGCCATCAGGTTAACCTCTGACATGTTTCTTCAAAGTCAACATAATTTTACAGAAAATAAAGTTCTTACAAGTAGAAAACAGAGATCAAATAAAGTGCCATCAAAGAACATCTGGAAACATGACAAAGAAGGAAATGAAAATACAGAATCTAATCCTGCTTATCCGAAATAATATAAACTAACCAGTTACTTCATTGCACATGTAGTGCTATGGCCTTTTCTCCTTTATGTAGATATAAAGGCTTATCAACATATAAGTTCAATATAAAACTAAAGTGAAAATGTTTTGCTCTGCAAATTGTCAACTTGATAGAGCACCTAAAGAATTGTTAGCTGTCTAGCAACAAAATGCCAATGATTCTTCTTCTTACCCTGCTGAGTGAATTTAACAGTCTTTACTCCTATGCTACCACAAATTCTCCTGAAATATTTCAGATTTATTCTAAATTAGCTCAGAATAAATGGTTCCCTCCAAATCCCTGACTATGACCTGATTACATCAAATATTTGTAAGATCACTTCCTTTACCATCCCTATCAAGCTAAAAATAGCTTTAGCCTTTTATTTTAGATAATTTAAATATGAGACTAGTAATGTAAACACAAAATGTGATAACTTATTTTTAAATAATTTAAGGAACCTAACAGTTTAATGAACCTTAACCCTTTATACTTTTCAATGATCCACTAATATACTAAATACATATTTACTATACAAATTCAATCTGCCTACCATTACATTAAATTTTCATTTTCTGACCAATTTATTCTCAGAAAAATTCAGCAACAAATAACATGTCTTATTTTAATCACTAAGCCAGTAAGTATACTGAACAATACAATACAATCATTGACTCACTGAATATAAACTTACTTTTCAGCAACATCTTTACTTCTCCATTTTCTTTCTTGATCTCATTCATTATTTTATGCTTCTTTTTTTCCCTCTCTTTTTCCTTATCTCTCTCTTTAATTTTGTCTTTGATTTTATCTGAAACACAAAAAAGGAAATGTTTTCAACTATTTTAGAATTTTTCCAATGAACTATAGTGCAATTTCTAAAATTTCCTTTCCTATACTGAATATGGACTAAATAATACATATCATCCTCGTGGCCCAGTTATAAAAACTCTAGAAATTATCGTTTATAATCTAGTAATTCAAATTTTGAGTTTATAAAATTACTAGAGGCCCCGTGCATGAATTTGTGCACCGGTGGAGTCCCTCAACCTAGTTGGAGATTGGGGCCAATCAGGGCAATCTCGCCCTGTCCTAATCAGGACCCATTGAGGCAGATCAGGGTCAGCTGGCCAGGGGAAGGGGCCACGGGAGGTTGGCTGGCCACGCGAGGTTGGCTATGGGAGCACAATGACCACCAGTGGGCAGCTTCTGCATTGAGCGCCTGCCCCCTGGTGGTCAGTGCGTGTCATAGTTACAAGCGTGTCAGGACATCACAGTCACTTAGACTTTTATTTTATATAAAGAGTTTTGATATCCTATTAATTCATATTTTTTCAAACACCTGCGTAACCAGCGAAAGAGAAGTAGGGTAGAATGTAAAAATAGTGACATATTCCATGCCCTCAAAAAACATACAATAGATTGATTACAAAGCAACAATGTAAGCACACAAAAACCACAAGAAACCTTCAATGTAGCAGAAATTACATAGTTACTAGAGGCCCGGTGCACAAATTCATGCACATTGAAAGGAAATTATTTAGAAATATTTTAATATCGCTATTTGTACTTTATAATAAGAAGTATCAACCAAATTTACAATTGACAATGACAGATTGAAACACCCGTGTGCAATTGCCACCAGCGAGAGCTTTATATGTATCGTGCATGTGCTAGTCAACTTAGCCTTTTATACCGTGTTTCCCCGAAAATAAGACCTACTTATAGGTTTCCTTCTGAGTGAAATATAAGGCATCCCCTGAAAATAAGGCCCCCCTAGGCTAAACATGAGAGATTTGGTCCACTCATTCTGAAAGAAATGGAGTCACAAGAAATTCACCAGGAAATTCAGGAATTGGATTGTTATGATGATGTTCCAGAAGATGATGACATGATTGTCATTGAATAAATGAGTAAATTCTTGATACTGTAGGATTCACAGTTTGTCTGGTTTGTGTTGACAACTACCGTACTACCGTACTGTACACAGGTAACAAATTTCTTTTATTTTCATTTAACTATAAAAGTGTACCATTTTCTTCTTCTTGGAAAAATAAGACATCCCCTGAAAATAAGACCTAGCGCATCTTTGGGAGCAAAAATTAATATACGACACTGTCTTATTTTTGGGGAAACAGGGTAGATATAGAATAAACTTGTTTAATTAGACCTGCTTTCTGATGTAGCTAAACTTTTTCCAGCTCAGGGAAGTACCTCAACTTCACTTTCAGGTAATTGTCAGCAACATAGCAATTATTATATCAGCATGTAGCACATTATTGTAGATCACACAGGGAAAACATAGGGTAAAATATTTAACTGCAGCAGTGTTTGACTATATTCTACGCAGTGAGAAAATCTGAAGTCATTTTCAAGGTCCACCACTTCTTTTCAGTCAGGTCAAGTTTATAAGCTTTCTAAATCTCTGTTTTCTGGCTAATGAAAAGAAAATAGGATTCCACCGAGATGAGGGAAAACACTTCAAACACATTTGGTTAAAGAGTGAAATGTTTGCACCTGGCTATAAAGCAAACTGCAAGGAAGTTACCGTATTTTTCGGACCATAAGACGCACTTTTTTCCCCCCAGAAGTGGGGGGGGAAAGTCCATGCGTCTTATGGTCCAAATATAGCCTACACATATACTTTAAAAAAAAAGTTTTTTTACTTGCCCGGCTCTGTGTGGTCTCTGTGTGCTTGCCCGGCTCTAAAATGGTTCTAAATGCTGCTGTTTACTTTACAGGGTTGATTACATGTGTTTATGACTGTGATGTTGGGTTTTAATGCACATAAAATATTTTAGGACACTATTTGTTTCAGAATCTTTTTTTCTTCATTTCCCTTCTCTAAAAACTGGTGCGTCTTATGGTCCGGAGCGTCTTATGGTCCGAAAAATACGGTAATTGTCCTTAGGGAGAGGAAGCCGGGCATAACTACACGACATCATTACCCAGCACCCACAGTTTCTGGGCTGTGGGCCACATTTTGAACAGGGGTCTCGGCAGTGTCAGCTGCAATTTAGTGGGGTGTCACTTTGGGGTGGTGGCAGGGCCTGTGTCCCCCTTGGGGGAAGCTGAGTGTTGCTTTGTGGGTGCCATGTCCGTGGTGCCATTTCTCTGTGTGCATCATGGCAGCTCCTGCATTAAGCGTCTGTGCCCTGGTGGTCAGTGCACGTAATAACGACTGGTCAGATGGTTAGACACTTAGTATATTAGCCTTTTATATATACAGATATGCATACTTCCTTACTTAAATCCCTCCTTACTTTCCTTTCTATACTCATTCAGGACCAAATGATCAAATTACTGGATCAATACTGTCCAATAGAAATATAATGTTTACAACATATGTAAATTTAAAAATTTACAAGGGTGAAATTAATTTTAATAATATATTTTATTTAACCAATATATCTAAAACATTCCAAAATAGGACCAATACTAAAAAATTAATATTGTGTTAGTTTACATTTTTTTATATTAATAGTAAGATTTCAAAATTCAGTGTTTATTTTACACTTACAACACATTTCAATTCAAACTAGCACCATGTTAAGTGTTCAAGAGCCACATACTAGTGCTTACCAAAATCATTAACTCAAATGTAGACTACTTAATTCTCAAATTAAATCAAGGTATTTAATAGGCTTCTTTAAAAGGTACAGTCATTAATAACAAAAAATTCAAATTAAGGTATTTTTATTTTATCAAACTAACAATGTGCTTTTCTTAAAGTGATAATACTGAAAGCAGATGAGGGGACAGGGATTCACTGACTTAATATGCATAGCTGAGTATAAGAATTTGGTTACAGAGGTGAACATCTGTTCACATATAAATTATAGAATACGCTCTTTTCACATTTCACATTAGTTTGCTACTCTTACTTTTTGATACTTAAAGTCATTAAAATTGTATTACACATACAATGTTATTACAAAGAGCTTAGACACATATATAAGTTACTATCTTCTAAATAACTACACACTTTATGCTGGGACGGTTTGGCTTAGTGGATAGAGCGTCGGCCTGCAGACTGAGGGGTCCCAGGTTCGATTCCGGTCAAGGGCATGTACCTTGGTTGCGGGTGTGCAAGAGGCAGCTGGTCGATGTTTCTCTTTCATCAACGTTTCTAACTCTCTGTCCCTCTCAATTTCTCTCTGTGTAAAATCAATAAAATATATTTTTAAATAACTACACATTTTAAAAAATAAACTACTTATATATTTAAAATCACAAATGAATAAGTCATCTGAAATTTCATAATTTCATTTTCCAGTTACCTCTGTTAATCTCACTACCCTAAATTTTATATCACTAACTATTAAACTGTAAAGTTTACTGAAGTATAATATATTATACATACAGAAAGAGCATGTGAGTATACAGCTAAATTTTCAGAATAAATGAACAAGCACCTTGGGACCCTATACTCCCTTCTAGTCTTTTATTTTTTTTAAATCTTCACCCAAGGATATGTTTTTCATTAATTCAAGAGAAAGAGGAAAGGAGAGGGAAAGCAAGAAACATCGCATGATCCATGTGAGAGAGAAACATTGATAGGTTGCCTCCCACATACACAACAAGCACGAGTGAACCTGCAACCCAGGTACGTGCCCAACAGGAAACTGAACTTGTGACTCTGGTGTATGGGACAATGCTCAGCCACCTCAGCCACACTTGCCAGCACTCCCTTCTAGTCTCAATGCAACACCCTGAAGGTTAATCATAATCCTGACTTCTAACCACATAGATTTAAAACAATTATAAAATTTTAATGGTATGTATATAGAACGTGGCATACTATAAACCTCTAATTGCAAAATACCAATATTTTACAATATTATATTATTGAAATAGCTTCTCAGGAAATAACACTATAATATGGTACAACCTACAGTTTTTATAGATCCTGTTTATAAGTATACTTATTTGTAGACTTTTCTCAGAGCAGTTTTAGGTTCATATAAAAATTGAACAAAAGGTAGAGAGATTTTCCACATATACCTCCTGCCTTTACACATCCCAAAATTTTAAAATATTTATAACTAATATACACATTCAGAAAACAGAAAGACAATAGTTCAAATTATTAAAAGCCATTATTTTTATGTGACAAAGGTTTCTAAGTTGCTCAATAGGATCATATTAGTCATGATCATATAACACAGGAAAAAGGGTCTTGGAATATGCCTTCAAGTTCAAATAAAGTTAAACAATTCAATGAAAGATAAGTTGAAGGTATGTAGTCATTATATCAAAAACATCAATAGAGGTTCTGGTCAATATGGAAGTGCAGGTAAATGCGGTACTCAGAACCTCTTGCAACCACATCAAAATTACAACTAAATAACAAAACAATCATCATTCAGAATGCCTGAAATCTAACTGAACACAAGTCCTCTAAGGATATAAAAAAGACACAATGAGAATAGAAAGAGGGGCAGAGAAATGGAACAACTTAGTTCCATACCCACATAGGCAGTTAAACATCAGGAGAGCTATTGCTGGAAGAGAAGTAGCCATAACTTCTGACTATGAAAACCAGCAGGGATATGGCTGAGTGAGATAACAGCTCCTGGAGACCCAGACATTTCTATAAAGGGCCTGAACATGGACTTATTCGAACTCACTTGCTTTGAGTTTTAAAATATATATTTTATTATTATTATTTTACAGAAAGAGAGAGGGAGAGTTAGAAACATCGATGAGAGAGAAACATTGATCAGCTGCCTCCCGCATACCCCCCACTGGGGATGTGCCTGCAACCAAGGTACATGCCCTTGACCGGAATTGAACCCTGGATCTTTCAGTCCTCAGGCTGAGGTTCTATCCACTGAGCCAAACTGGTTTTGGCATTGCTTTGAGTTTTAAAAGCACAGGTGACTCAGTTGGTTGGGCGTCTTCCTGTGCACCAAAGGACTGCCAATTAGATGCCCAGTCAGGGCATATGCCCAGATTGCAGGCTCAATTCCCAATTGGTGGGCAAGCAGGAGTTAACAGATTGATATTTCACTATCACATTAATGTTTCTCTTTCTGTCTCTTTCCTCCCTCCCTATATATCTCTAAAAATCAATAAACTATTATTTTAAAAATAAGACATCAGGTGAGGGAAAATGGGAGATATCTGCAATAGGGGAAAAAAAAGACAGAGAATAACTGAACGGATAAGATCCTTATATATACAAGAGACTCACTTCAGAGCAAAAATTTGTATAAACTGAAACTAAAGGGATAGAAAAACTTATTTCATGAAAATGGAAACAAAACAAAATAAAGCTGGGGTAGCAATATTAATACTAGACAAAATAGACTTTAAAACAAAGAGTATAAAAAGAGGCAAAGAAGGACCTCCACTTCTGGATATTTATCTGAAGAAGAAACCCACAACACTAAATCGGACATGTTTATTGAAACGTTGTTTACAACAGCCAAGTTATGGAAGCAACCCTAAGTGTCTATCAATAGATAAATGGATAAAGAAGAAGTGATGCACATATACAATGGAATATGATTCAGCCATAAGAGAGAATAAAATCTGCAACAAATGAATGGACCTATAGCTATTTTCAACCAGTGTGCAGGGATAAAACATGCATTACCTGTTTAATCAGGATACAGACCTCTTTTCCCTTAGACTGCCAAATAAAAAAATGACAACAGCCAATATAACAATACCCATCAACAGCCAATATAACAATTGTATGAATGAATCAAAATTATACCTTTTTTATGTCAGATCAGCAAAAAATATATTTTTTGATGTGCCACAGAATTTTAGTAATTAGTTTGTGTGTGTCGTAAGATGAAAAAGATTGAAAATCGCTGACCTAGAGAGAATCATGCTAAGTGAAATCAGTCAGAGAAAGATAGCCCTGACAGCTTGGCTCAGTGGATGGAGCATCGGCCTGTGGACTGAAAAGTCCCAGGTTCGATTCCAGTCAAGGGCATGTACCTTGGTTGTGGGCACATCCCCAGTAGGGGGTATGCAGGAGGCAGCTGATCGATGTTTCTAACTCTCTATCCCTTTCCCTTCCTCTCTGTAAAAAAAATAAAAATCAATAAAACATATTTTTTTAAAAAGAAAGATAAATGCCAGATGATTTCACTTATATGTGGAGAGGGGTTGTGGAGATGAGTGAAAAAGGTGAAGGAATTAGAAATACAAACTGGTAGTCATAGAATAGCCAAAGGGATGTAAAGTCCAGCATGAAGTATATAGTCAATAATATTGTAATAACTATATATGGTGTCAGATGGGCACTGCATTTATTAGAATTATCACTTAAGTTATATAAATGTTTAATCATGGGGCTGTACACCTGAAACCAATATAATATTGTACATTAACTATAATTTAAAAATTAAATTAAAAAAAAAAAAAAGCTGCAGAGCCTGCCCCATGTGGTTCAGTGCTTGAGCATCAACCTGTGAACCAGGAGGTCACAAGTTCAATTCCAGCCAAGGGTGAATGCCCAGGTTGCGGGCTCAAACCCCAGTGAGGGACATACAGGAGGCAGATCGATAATTCTCTCTCATCATTGATGTCTCCCCCTCTCTGAAATCAATAAAAAAAAAATGTAGCCGAAACTGGTTTGGCTCAGTGGATAGAGCGTCGGCCTGAGGACTCAAGGGTCCTGGGTTCGATTCCAGTCAAGGACATGTACCTTGGTTGAGGGTCCATCTCCAGTAGGGGGCGTGCAGGAGGCAGCTGATCAACGATTCTAACTCTATCCCTCTTCCTTCCCCTCTGTAAGAAATCAATAAAATATATATATATTTAAAAGTATTTTAAAAATAAAATGAAGAAATAAACCAAAAGGAAGGCATAGGATCAAAAAGAACAGGACTCAACTAAAGTGAAAGAAATTCCCAGAATGTCAGCTAAAGGAAGTCCCAAGATGACAACTCTGCAGCAGGCCTAAGAGGAAATAATCCAGACTAAAGCCGGAAGGACAGCTACAAAAAGGATGGATAACAACAGAACAAATGGAACTGGTAAGTATATCTGACAGACATGACCATGGGGAAAATTACACTGAGAAGCATTTTATAAAGCTGCTGAAGGGTACAGAAAGACTTTTCTAGACAAAACTAAGCAAATGAAAAAATTAGGCATTAAAAACAAAAGGTTACACAAGAAAATGAAATTATAATAAACTATCTCTGCAGTAACAAATATTTGGTCATAATGATGAAAACTCTGAATATGAATTTACCCTAAAATTGTGGAATAACAATATTAGAAAGATGAGGAATAGCCTAGTTTTTAAAACCTTTGAACATCTATCCCTTTAAAATCACTAACATTTACTTACCGCCAATTATTCCATTCTAAGAAAAGCCTCTATTTTCTTAAAGTTAAATCCTATAACTACACTTTCAAGTAAAAAATTCAGTAAAATATTCTGGTTTTGCCTTGGGATATATCACATGGTCATTCTAAAAAAAAAAAAAAAAAAAGCCAATAAATGCAAAGCAAAAACTAACAAAAATTAGATGATCTATGTAAGTTTTGTTGTTGTTTTTTTCCGAAAATAAAGAAAAGGAACGGTTCTTGAATGTGTGTGTCATCCTTGCACAGGGACCATGCTAATCTTCTCAGTATTGTTCCAATTTTAGTATATGTGCTGCCTGAACTAATCTTACAAGTTTTGTTGGTTACTGGAATAAGATAAGACATTTTGTTATCTAATACGCTTGTTCTGTTGTTTGTTACACTATAATTCTGAATGTTGGATACCTTCAGTACATGTCCCACCTTTACTTCCACATTTACTGATTCAGTAAGTTATTCAATCTTACATGGGCTGTGAACTCTTCAGCAGATTACCTCTGTAAGCACCAAAGCCTGGTTATTTTGTTTAAAAAATTTAAAATGTTCTGCACATTTTTTATAAGAAATTTAACTTTTACTTAATAACTTAGGCTGTCATGCAAGACAGCTGCAATACTATGACAGACGCCTTAGGTGGGTAAAGCATCAATCCATATACTAAGGGGGCCTATGCTTTCATAATTCTCTTGTTTATCAGTCTTAACTCTCAATGATCCTTCCTGTATCTGAACTGACCCCTTTTAATTTGTTATGGAGGTTAACAAAAACCAATTATCATGCTTCTGACTCAAATAACGTTTACTAAATGCCCTACCAATAATACAAATAATTTGTTAGAATTGTAGCCAATGAAGTTCCTACTAAAGACTTGAAGAAAACAGTTCTAATAAAATAAAGGAGTTTAATTGCTTAATGAAATTGAGAGGCTAAATCTTTTGGATTTTTGTTTTTTGAAGGATCTATTCCTTGTTTCAGTGTCTTAATACCTAACTTACGGTTCTGATTCAGATTGTTCAATTAGTGAGCTATGGGATAACTGAGAGGGTTCACTAAACTATCTTACGTGCTATCCAGGTGAACTATCCAAGTTAGGTAACACTAAAAAATAGGAATATGTATCTAAAATAAAATACCTGGTTACTCATTCACTAAGATTTTCACAAAAAGCCCAGAGAAATAAGAACTGTATTACATAATAGGACTTTTATATTTGCAATTATAACTATACTAGAGGCCCAGCGCCTAACATTAGTGCAGTGTGTGTGTGTGTGTGTGAGAAATAGAGAGAGAGAGAGAGAGAGAGAGAGAGAGAGAGAGAGAGAGAGAGAGAGAACTGTCATGCACTGTGAGGGCATGGGCCCAGCCCAGCCTATGCCCTCTCGCAGTCCAGGAGCAGGTCTAAGCCAGCAGGCAGACATCCGCAAAGGGTCCTTAGTACTGAGGCCACTGGGCTCGCCAGCCATGAGCCCAGCTTCTGGCTGAGCAGTGCTCCCCTGTGGGAGTGCACTGACCACCAAGGGGCAGCTCCTGTGATGAGTGCCTGCCTTCTGGCGGTCAGTGCACATCATAGCGACCAGTCACTCTGCTGTCCGGCTGATTTGAATATTAGGTTTTATTATATAGGATTGAATGCATGTATGAAATCTTGCTATTTCAATAATACTGTTGCTTAAGAATCTTCTTAATTGATTAAAACAACACCTTAATTCAGTATATCAGAGCTATAGAAGGATATAAGCATTTCCCAAATTAAGGGAAATATTTTCACCATTAAATTTACCATCAAGATACTGAAAAGCAATCCTCTTTGATTTTTAGTTTTCTTTCCTCAATAAAATAGCTCTGTTAAAAAAAAAAAAAAACTGCCTGTTTGAGCGGTTACAGTTCAATTCTGGGTCAGGGCATATGCCTGGGTTGCCGGCTCAATCCTCAGCATGTGGTGTGCAAGAAGCAGCCAATTAGTGATTCTCTCTCATCATTGATTTTTTTTTTCTTCTCTCTCTCTCTCTCCTCCCTTCTTCTCTGAAATAAAGAAAAAATATTTTTTTTAAATGAAAATCTTAAACATGTTAATATGTATGTAGTCACTAATCCAAAAAAACTCAATAGGTCATGGAAAAACATCTTTCCCACATCTTAATGTAAAGGTATCATTGCTTATATTCTGACTTAATTAGATAAGCTGTAGCCTTCAAATAGAGGATTCTAAATGTAATTTTAAAGTCTAGAAAATTTTTTCTTTTAACAGCCATTTCACTTTAAGGGCCATTTTAAAGTCAGAATTGTTGAAGAATGCTTACTTATTTTCAGCCATTCTAATACAACTGACAACGGTATACTCAGATTCACTTCCTCATTCAAAGAACTTTAGGACAGTTGACACACAGCAATGCACAGACTTCAGGCACTTATAACTTATAAATGTAACCATTAAGAAAACAAAGTAGCTTTAAAATACTAACCAGCTAAAATTCCAGACGTAAAGTAGTATAAAAACTACTTTCCCAGAAGCAACATTCTCCAAAGCTGAGATCTTTACTTTGTGCAGGAGTACCAGATGGCGATGGCTTATATGTCAAAGCTTTATGACAGGCAAAGACACCAAGAAAGAAGTAACTGTTGCTACCTACTCATTCACAGAATTTTTAAAATCGGTGAAAACGGCCATTCTAATTCAAATATACAGAGAATTCTTCATGATGTAAGCTACCATCAGATCAACCCTGTGTGACAATTCATTTTTCTTTTCCGAAGCAAAAATACTTTGACACTACTCTGTTATCAACGCACAGGTATGCACTTTCAGCTTCTGATCACATAAAGATCCGATTTCCAACCAGTCTCCATGCGGTGCCATTCACTGTCAGATCCTTGAGTATCAACAGCTGAATAGGCAGAACCCTCTGTTGTTGTTTTTTTAAAAGAAATGCTTCCTGAAAAGAAGATGGCTAAGCTACATTTTAAAACTGTCTGAGAAAAGGCGTGTAAGGATTTGCCTTTTTCGGATGCTAACACACTTTTGCAGCCACTTAGCTCTGGCCCCAAAAACGTGAACGCTCCTGATGGTACCATTCGCTGCAGAAAAGGAAGAAGAAGGGGGGGAAAAAAGGCTGCAAAAGCTTTCTGAAGGATGGTATTTCAAACAGGAACACTCCAAACACTCCAGCCTATGGAGCGGAAAGAAGAGGGGAGGGAGGGGGGTACCTTACGAAACAGCAGCACCCTCCGGGGCCCCGCACGCCACCTCATTTCCCTAATAGGGATGGAAAGCTCGGGCCTCGGGTAGCTCCCGGCTGACGCCAATGCCCTCCACACCCCCTTTTTTTTTTTTCCTGACAGCATTTTCTGGCGCCAGAGCCTGGTCACAAAGATGAATTCCAGGGGATCAAGTCTTAAGAATCAATCGGGCGCTTTTTATTTTATTTTTTTGTCATTATTATTATTATTATTATTATTATTATTTTTGCAAGCAACAAACCCTTCAGGGAGATCCCGTTTCCCTCTCCCCTTTCTCTCTCCCCGTAGCCCAACACTCCAGGGCGGGCGGGTCTTCTAGATGGGACTCCACAAACCCTTCGGCGCGGTAACGGACAGGCAGACACGATACAGACAACACGAGTTTCGGCCATTCCCACCCCGCACCCCGCACCCCCCCCCCCACCCCTCCCCGGGACCGAAATTGCAGGCTCCATTTCCTGTCCCCGGGAGGGCTGCAGCCCCGGCCGCGGGGAACCGGGCGGGCGCACGCGGCCGGGGCGCCCTCCCCTCCCCTCCCTCCCTCTCCTCCCCTCCCCCGCCGGCGCCGGGCACCCACCTCGCGGCGGCAGCAGCTTCACCTCCCCGTTCTCCTCCCGGGCGGCCCCGCAGGCCTCGCCCGCCCCGCCGAGGCCGTGCCGCCGCCTCTCCTTCTCCCGCTTCTCCTTGGTCCGGCGCGGCTTGGCGGCGGCGGCGGCCGGCGGGGGCGGCGCCGGGGGCACCAGCAGTTTGCGCGGCGCCGGCTGAGACGAGGAAGCGGAGGCTGCGGACGGGACGGCCGAGCCGGCGGAGAAAGGGAAACTGTTGCGAGCGGCGGACGGGGAGGGCGCGGCGGCGGCGGCCAGAGCGGCGAAGCTCCACGGCGCGGGGCTGCCGTAGCTCTGAGGCGGAGGAGCCGCCACCGGCGGCTGCAGCTGCTGCCTGCCGTTCCCGCCGCCGCTGCCCCCTTCTCCGTTCAGTCTCCGCGGCGCCTTCTTCTCCTCGGTCCGGACCTTCTTGGCGGACAGGGGGCCCGGCGGGTCCCGGCAGGCGGTCTGCAGCTTGCCAAACGGTTCTTTCCCCGAGACGGGGGGGACGGCGGCGGCGGTGGCGGCGGCGGCGGCAGCGGCAGCGGCAGCGCCGTGCGCTGGGCTCGGCGGTTCCGCCATTTTGCGCTCCTGTTGTATTTACTCTCCTCGGCTCCGGGCGCGGGGCAGGGGCGGGGCCCGCCGCGAGGGGCTGTGTGGGCGGGGCCTCCTGCCACCGGCCTGGCCCGTCATTGGGCGAGCCTCCCTGATGGATCCCTCTGAAAGCCTATGAAAGGCGCGAATCTCGACCCGAGGGGGCGGGGTCGCCGAGTGGACCGGCTTTGGAGGTCACCACTCGGCGGGACGCGTCTCGCTGCCCGGAGAGCGGCGCGGGGGCTTCCTCCCACGGTCGCCGGCGGGAGCTCCGGGTGCAGGGAGTTTTCCGGGGAGAACCCCCAACTCCGGAACCCCGAAATCGGCCCGGGCCCTGATCGCGCTATAGTCTCGGCCTCGATGACTTGGTCACATCACTTTCTCTTCGTCGTTCCCTCGGCTCCTCCGGGTCCCTTCGCGCCCAGAAAGCCGGGTTTCGCAGACGCTCGGCTCCAAAGGAGAACATTTTTACTTCGGTTTTGGCCGTAGTCGATGGATAGATGGGAGGTGCTAAAAGTCACTTGGTGTTTTTTGAAAAGATTTGTTAACTGCGGCTTAAAGATCGTGCACTCTTGAAAGTTTGAGGGAAATAGAACTTCCTGCACATGCAAGCCTGGAACTTTGGGATTACTTCTGAGCTTAAAGGTAAGCGTCTCCGTAGGGGGTGGGGGGGGGGGAATGTTCTCACTTTTGTGATTGCATCCTTGAAGAGTTTAATTTTATCATAACTATTGTAACACAGACTCGCTATGAAAAAATCCGTTAGCAATATAGATGTTTGGAAAGCAAGGTGGTTTGTGGGTTGTTTTTTTTCCATTGTGTTTTAGCGTTCAGTCAGCATCCTGCGTGTTGGAAGTGTGCGCTTTGGTTTCTAGTTTAGAAGATAAGGAATTTGGGGGGGATGGGTGTACAGTCATAAGGTTGCACCCAACACTAGGTAGGAGCACGATTTTCAGTGAGCTCTAAGGTCTCCCATGAGACCAGAAGTCAGAGGAATAGACTGTAAAAATAAAATAGTCAAATCAGGAAATGACCAGTCGAAGGTGTTTTTTTTTTAGTCCTAGAAAGGGAGACCTAAATTGCCTACAGTTTTCTGGAAAACAGTTCAAAGTCACTATCCAGGATTGCCAATACTTACTTGTGACTTAATAAAGTTGGATTTTTGAGCCCTCCTCCCCACCATTTGTTTTTTCTATTTTTTAGAATACATTGGAGTAAAAAATGTAATACTAGTTTATAGAATTGTTTTTATAGGTGCCTCCAAATTTTAAAATGAAAGTATTTACTTACATTAATACATAATAATGAAAGCAAGTGGAAACTGTAGCTGGAATTGACCGGCAGCTGGTGTCTTCATGAAAAGTAGCCTTGGTGGAAGAGAGGGCAGAGAGGGTGGAGCTGGAAATCATCTGCTGCTGACTAGCTTTGTGACTACAGTCAGGATGCTTCAGATTATCAGAATCTGTTTCGTTAAGTGAATAAATTTGATTGCATGATCACTTAGGTCCCTTTAAAACTTTAAACTTATGCCTTCTGTATTCAAGAAACTTATCAAAATCACACTGAAACCATTACAATTAAAATAGCTTCTTAATTGTTGACCTTCCACATATAGAAAAGTGTCTCATATGCATTAATGTAGTGCCTGTAAACTTGTACCATTTATCCCCTGATCTCCCACACCGACGTCTGGAAATCTGACTATATAAGGCTCCAGCTAAAATAAACTGTCATCTGTGTGCTGTGTTACTCCTTACACTACACTGTTTTAAATTTGCAGAGCCTGGGCTAGAAAGTCTGTGGCAGCTCACATACCATATGTCCAAATATTTAAGTTATAAATCAAGCTGAGAAACTATTTTTATAAAAACTATTCTACTTTGCTACCTTGACAAATCTGCTTAAATAATCCTGAAGGTAAAATTTTCAGACTTTGAGAGATGGACTGACCCATTCTCTTCCCATTCCTAGCTGCTTCACGTGCCACACCAAAAGGGATCATAAATGAATGCAATCAACATGTCCAAGCTTAGGTCCACGCTCCTCACCCCCTGCAAATAGTGATGTGTAATCAACAACTAGGTCTGGCCTCAGATCTAGCCAGTCTAAAAGAGGAGTGCGGGCGCCCCAGCTGGTTTGGCTCAGTGGGTAGAGTGTTGGCCTGGGGATTGAAGGGTTTCAGGTTCAATTCCAGTCAAGGGCACATGCCCAGGATGAGGGCTTGATCCCCAGTAGGGGGTGTGCAGGAGGCAGCCAGCCGATCAATGATTTTCTCTCTCTTCCTTCCTCTCTGAAATCAATGAAAATATATAAAAAAGAGGAGTGCAGGTGACCTCATAGACACCTTGCCCTTTGCAATAAAAGGAGGGTCCTTATCTAGATCTAACAGGAGCACTATTATGAAACATACCCAGTTATCTCTTCTCTCCATGTGTTCAGCCATTCCCTTTCAACTAGATCATTACTAACAATATTGAACTAGGAGAGAATTCCCACCATCATCAATTCCTACTGGCTTCATCTCTGCTAGCACTAAAACCATCCACTTCTCTTCATCTCCCCTGGAAGACTATACTAGACTTTCCTGGTCTCGTTGTAAGTATTCTAATTTTCTCAAATCTGTTCTCTATTTTACCCAGAATGCACTTTTTCTTTTTCTTAACCACTTTTTATTGATTTCAGATAGGAAGGGAGAGAAAGAAAGAGATAGAAACATCAATGAGAGAGATCATTGATCAGCTGCCTCCTGCACGCCACCTTTGGGGGATCGAATCTGCAACCCGAGCATGTGCCCTTGACTAGAATCGAACCTGGGATCCTTCAGTCTGTAAGCCGATGCTCTATCCACTGGGCCAAACCAGTTAGGACCAGAATGCTCTTTTCAAAACCTAAATCTGATCATATCACTTTTCCCTGCTTCAGACCTGTCAATGGCTTTCATTGCTCTTAGGCTAAAGAACAAAATCCTTAATATGACTATAAGACCCATCATGATCTAGCCCCTTCCTCTTTCGTGTCAAAAGAAAAGGTCTTTAAAATTAAGGGGGGGTGGGGGTGGGGCCAAAATGATAATAATAAATGAAAAAAGGGGGAAGAAAAAAATTAGAGGAAAGAGATAGAGAAACTTTTTATGATTGTTTGGATAACAAACAATTATGTAATGACCATAACAGAAGCAGATATCATGAATAACTCCTATATTTCTAACTTGCATAACTTGATGTACAGTGATACCATTTACTGAGCAAGGAAACACAGAAGAATGACATGTTTGGGATACTCTTTGGCCTTGGTCCTGGCGATCATAAGGTGCTTGTGAGACCTCACATCCTTTGGATACGGGTGCAAGCCAAGGCTCACTTCTTAGAGAAGCCTCCTGTCTCTTCCCTATCAAGACTAGATTCCTGACCTGTTATGACTCAGTTGATTGAACATTGACCCATGAACCAAGAAGTCATTAGTTTGATTATCAGCAAGGGAACATACCCAGGTTGCAGACTGATCCCTAGTGGGGGGCATGCAGGAGGCAGCTGATCAATGTTTCTCTCATTGATGTTTCTCTCTCTCCCTCTCTCTTCCTCTCTCTCTAAAATCAATAAAAACATTCTTTAAAATAATAAACTATTAAAAGACTAGATTCCTTTCTTTGATAGTTGGCTTATGTTTAGCTCATCTACCCTCCAGCCATTATTTTAACTGACATCAGTTAAATGCTAATAGCCCATCTAATATTTTTGCCTCAGTGTTCTTTTTAGACCTGCATTTCCATTCAGTTTCATCCACAAACTCCAATGGATCCTTCTTGATCTTTTTCATTACTCTTTAATCTCTGAAATTCTAAAATACAGTGTTTGAATATTCATCTTTCTCACTCCTGGACACCATACCATGCTCTTGCCCTTTGACCTCAAGATAGCTCCTAGACTCCAGGTCTTTTTTTCCCACCTAATTATGGTTGCCAGATAAGATACAGGACACGCAATTAAATTTGAATTTCAGATTAACAATGAAAAAAAAATTTGTGTAAACATGAGCCATATATTATTTGGAATATATATATATATATATATATATATATAATACCTTCCTTTTATATATATTCATTCTATATATATATATATATATATATAGAGAGAGAGAGAGAGAGAGAGAGAGAGAGAGAGAGAGAGAGAGAAAAGGAAGGTATTCTTTATCTGAAATTCTAATTTAACTGAATGTTCCTTTTTTTCCCTGATAACTCTGGCAACCCTACACTGATTCATCCTTCTATACTTTCTTCCCTATCCAACCTGGAACCTGAGGTACATAATTTGTTCTAAACATTTGCCAGCACCTCAATTCCTCACACTCTGATTCTCTTCATCTCTGTGCTGCTAAACCTCACCCTCAGGTCACCACCTCTGCCTTCTCTCCTATATCCAGGCTGGTAAGCATCTCTCCATTTAATTATTGGAGATTCTTAGGGCTGTGTCACTGCTCTTTTTTTTACTCTGCATACTTCTGTGTGATATTATACATCACAGGGTCATCTGATACGTCATGAATGCTGACAGTTCCCATCTTTCCTGCCTTGACCTTCTGCCTGATTCCTGACTTGTCCAGATGCCAAGTGGACGTCATCACCTGTATAGCTACAGACACCTCAGACTTTATAGCACCCATTCCCACCCTCCCATGTATCAGTCTCCTGCATTGCTTATCCACATTATCAATTCAAGTGACAAATCTGGATGGGACTCCTCTTTGACTTCTCTTTTCCCTTCACCTCCTCGTTCCTGCACTCTCTATTTCTAGTCAGTTTCTCTTCTCCATTACCACTGCTGCTGCTTGCTTTCAGGCCTCAGGTCAACTTGGATTATGTCAATGATTCCCTTCCTAACTGGGTCTGTCTGCCTCCAGTCTTCCATCTTCTACTTGTAAGTATCTAGATTTTTTTAATGAGAAGTTTCTTAAGAAACTGTGCAAGCCAAATAAACATCTGTGGTCTGATAACCCAATCTGTCTCTCCTCCCTTCCACTCTAAAAAAAAATCAATGGAAGAGTATCCTCAAGTGAGGATTAACAAAATAAAAGAAAAATGTTTCTTCTTACAGAATGCTCACCCCTCTCGAACCTCTGGCACTATCCTGAGGGAATAGCTTCTTTTCATGGAGGCTGCCTGTAGTTATGGGCAGTGACCAGCAGAGTTGATCCAGTCTAGGGACTGGGAGAGAAGTGTTATGGATTGCTCAGCGGATAATTCATGGAACATGAAGACAACACTTTTTTCCAACATATACTAAAAATAGACTTGTGTGTATCTGCAAGTCTGATAGTTTTATAACATTGATTAGTATGTCAGTTCTCAATGAATGATGATTTACTAACCTCACAGAGTAGCCTGTTCCACTTTTGTATTGCCCTAGTTGTTAGGAAGGTATTTCTTTCACTTAACCAAACATTTCCTCTTCTGATTCCCACTCATTGTAAACCATTTTACTAGGACATCAGCAAGTAAGGCCAATCTTTTTGTTGGAATTTTAAGATTTAATTTAATTTAATTTGGGATGGCTTGCCTACGTTTTTAAAATATGTATTTTTTTAAAAATTGATTTCAGAGAGGATAGGGGGAGGAAAGAGAGAGAGAAACATCAATAATGAGAATCATTAATCAGCTGCCTCCTGCATGCCCCCCAGTAGGGTTGGAGACAAAAACCTTGTCACGTGCTTTGACCAGGAATTGAACCGTGACCTCTTGGTTCTTAGGTCATTGCTCAACCACTGAGCCATGCCAGCCGGGCTGCCTGGGCTACTTTTAATCGTTTTATCTGTTTCAAGAGAAAGTGAAGCAGTAGACAAAGTGCCCCAAGTGAAGCAAGGTTTTGTTTTAAGATTTGCCAGTCACTGCATCCTTAATAATGAGGCTACTCAGTCTGCACCTGCATAACTGCCACAATTATTCTCCTAGATCTTAAAAGAATCCCAGCTTCCAGATGGGCAGGCCTGTGCTGGAATAATAATAATAATAATAATAATAATAATAACAACAACAACAACAACAACAACCACCACCAAATAATTAAAAGCCAGATGACTGTCCTATTTCCTCCATCCCCATTCCTAAACCATCTTATATTACTGGTAAAATAGTGTCAAGATTTTCCCCTTGAATTCTAGGATACCCATCTCAATACCTTACTCTTGGTATGACCTGGTGTTTCCCATTCCTGAGATATCCCAGGTTCTACAGAAAGGAGTGGCTGTCCCTTTGGCCTCATTACCCCTCTCCCCATATTCTGTGCTGCACTGTCCCCTGTCCTCTTTGTTCAGTACCTAGTCCAGCACCAATTCTGTAATCCAGAAGCGGACTCTCTCAATCATGGGCTGCTCTCTGTCATTCTCTTCATGTTTTAGTTTTATACCTTTTTGAAAATAAATTCCTTTATCATCATCATAATGAGCTCCTTGGGGAAGAAGAGATAACTAGGCACAATTGGTCAGCCAACTTGAACCAGAAACAGTGATTATAACTCCTAGAGTCAGGTTTACTAACATGTTAAAGAAATTTGGACCCTAACTGGTTTGACTCAGTGGATAGTGTCAGCCTGTGGACTGAAAGGTCCCAGGTTCAATTCCGGTCAAGGGCATGTACCTTGGTTGCGGGCACATCCCCAGTAGGGGGTATGCAGGAGGCAACTGATTAATGTTTCTCTCTCATCGATGTTTGTCTCTATCACTCTCCCTTCCTCTCTGTAAAAAATCAATAAAATATATATATTTTTTTATATTGGGAAACAGAAAAGTAAAAAATCTGTAATTGTACCACGTTAACACAAATACATTTATTTATTTGCACATTTATTTAATATGCATTCAATAAACAAACTAGTAAGGAAATTTTAGCAAGATAGAAATAATCACATAATGTTTTGGTATATTTTTATTGAATCCTAATGTTAGTTTTTTTAAATGCATTGCAATTACACTGTCTATTCAGTCTTATCTCCTTTATTTTATTTTTTAACTTATAGCACAGTAGGAGTGACAAAAGGAGGCAAAGCCACCATTCCCCGCAGAAAAAGTAAAGGGTAGTGTCTTACAAATTTCATAGCCTCAGGCTTCTATTCAAGGTCTATAATTTTTGCCTTGCCTGGTTTCTGCTCTCTTTGTAGCTACAATCATATTTTAAATATAACTGAGTCATACTCCAGCAGTGTTTTCAGCTATTTTTTAAAGTATGTTTTTATTGGTTTCAGGGAAAGGAAAGGAAAGGAAAGAAAAGGGGGGAAAGATAGAAACATCAATGAAAGAGAAACATTCATCTGTGGCCTCCTGCACACCTCCTACTGGGGACCGAGCCACAGTCTGGCATGTGCTCTGAAGAGGAATCAAACCATGACCTCCTGGTTCGTGGGACAATGCTCAGCCAACAGCCACACCAGCCAGGCTCCAGGAATTCCTTTTTCTTTTTTCTTTTTTTATAATGCAGTCGTTTTTAGTATATTTACAAAGTTTCACAACGTCACCACAATCTAATTTTAGAACATTTTCATCACCCCAGAAAGAAACCGCAAATCCATTAGCAATCTCTATTTCTCTTTGTCTTCTGCCAGCCCAGCTCAATCATTAATCTACTTTTTGTTTCCATAGGTTTGTCTTTATCACTGTTTGTAGTGGGGACAGGTACAGATGGGGAGAAAAGTGAGCTCTCATCTGGAAATGAGCTGCTACTTCTGGTCTCTGCTTGTCTTCTGTCTCCAAAATTTGAAGTTAAAATTTGTTACTTTGAAATTTTCTTCCAAAAATTCCCATCTGATCCCCAAAAGATATTGAGATATGATATCTATAAACATAGATACCTAAATTTTTATCTTATTTCATATCTTTAATCCTATTTCTTGTGAATGAGTAACCCTAGTACACATATACACATACTAGTACATGCCTACCTTGACTGAGATATTTCAAAGCCTTGTCTGAACTTAAAATAAGGGCACCATGCCTCAAACACTTTCCCCTAATTCTCTAATTCCTAGGTTTTTCAGATCAGGCTGCTATACCTGTATCTTGCTGATGGTAGATAAGATAGCCATAATATTAGGTAACAGTGAATGTCAGGAGACTAGATTGAACCATGGGGAATGGCTTAGTGAAAACACCCCTCTCTACCATGTGCACAACTAGAATTGAACATGGGGAGAGGAAGAAGGGTGGGAGGTCAGTATGGGAAGTCTCTTTCGTGGGTACTTTTTCCAACCAGAGCATCTTGGCCACCCTAGCTTCCCCTCCCCCCTCAGGAGTGATCCTTTGTGATGTCTGAGCAGCCCATAGCCACCATTGGCTGTGGGGAGTGCCCTGATGACAAAACAAAGCTAAAGAGGTGTGACTCCTCATTGCCCTGGGGAGGGGTATATATACAGAGGACAGGACCCCTGGGGTAAAAAATTGAGAGCTTAAACATGGCAAAGGTGACCAAGAAATCATGGGAGCGAAAATCCACTAGCACCAGGCGGTGGAAGAAGAAGAAGACCCGCTCTCAACCTAAATCAAGACGTAATAACAAGGTCAGATGATCCTACATACCCAAGAACCTCTTTCTCCTCCTCTTTTATATCCCCTACCCGCCACCCTCCCCAGATAATCCTGCCTCTGCCTGGCACAAACCTCCTCCTTAGTTCCTCCTTCCTACCTATCCCCATTTTCTTCTTCCAGCCCAAACCCTCTAGGCTGACCTTGTTGCCTTACCAGGTTCTGAAGATATACAAGAAGATAAAAAGACCATTTCACATGACCTCAAGGAAAAAATACTCTCCTAAAGTTAAAACTACTTCCAGAAGGCGGAAGAGAGAGAGAAGGGCCAACAGATTTCAGCCATAAGCAGCCAGGCCACGCCGTAAGCAGCCAGGCCAAGCCCAGCAACCCTATAAAGAGATACCACTTGAAGATAAGATCCCTGCCGACAGTACCTGCAGAGCAAGCTTCGGAGACCTCAGACAAATCTGCTGCATCTAAGTCCTGGCTGCTGAGAAATGGCCAACTGCATAGGGACTTACTCAGACACTACTGTGGAATGGTGGTTATTAAAATCAACAAGGTGTGAGAAACCCCTCCAAAGATAAAATAAAAATAGGCTCTCTGCCAGAAATGGTGTTGCATTAGTGTTTGAGATTGACTCTCAAAATAGATAGTGAAATAACAGCAACTCAGAATCTTTGCTGTAAAGCAAATCCCTGTTCCCCCACATCCCCAAGAGGAGAAAATGTATGTGCAGCTTCCTAGGGCGGGAAAATACCCTTCCGCCAGATGCCCCAACTGTAGAGGACCAACTTAATAATTTCTTTACTTTGTGCTCAACACCCAATTTGAGTGTGAGTGAAATCAGCAGAACATAGCACTGCCCATGTACACTCTAATAGGCTCCAAGGCAGTAGAGAAGGGAAAAGGGAGAAAGATGTCCCCAGGAGGTTCTGACTTTCTCAGTCATGATGCAGAACTGAGCTGCTCCAGTCCTGTGGGTGTGATTTAGTTGGAAATTGAAGGCCCTAGAACTTCATAGACTCCCTCATCCTCTGTTGACCTCGAGGTGAGTTGTAATAAAGGACAGAGCAGCACCAGGCCCAGTCACAAGGAGAGGATAATCTTGTGGCTACATCACAAGCAGAGATACTCATCTCTGGTCTGATTCTGCCCAGCCTCCCCAGTCTCACCTTCCCCATCAATTATCCCTTCCATTTGAAGCAAGGGTTGGGAACTTCTTTTCTGCCCAGAGCCATTTGGATATAACATCATCCATGGGCCATACAAAATTATTAACTTAAAAATTATATAGCCTATTATTTTTTTTTAATTAGCCTGCTATATTTGGTCAAACATTTACTTAACTTATCCCTAATGCCTTGGCAAGGCCAGACCAAATGATTTTGAGACCCTGATACGGCCCATGGGCTGGATGTTCCGCACACCTGCTGTAAGGGCTCAGTTCCCAGCAGAGGCGGAAATGGTTCGAATTACAGTATTCATAGGTTAGAACAGTGATCCTCAAAAAGTGTGTGTCTCACCCCGCTGGTGTGGCTCAGTGGTTGAGCGGTGAACTATGAACCAGAAGGCCGTGGTTTGATTCCCTGTTGGGGCACATGCCAGGGTTGTGGGCTCCATCCCCACTGTGGGGCATATAGGAAGCAGCCAATGGATGGTTCCCTCTCATCATTGATGTTTCTTTCTCTATCCCACCTCTCCCTCCCTCTCTGAAATCAATATATATATATATATATATATATATATATATATATTATTATTATTATTTTTTTTTTTGTGACTCTCCAAGAGAATTTGAAGCACCGTGCACCTTCCTAATTTTAAATTCGGCATCTTAAATTTTTTCATCATGAATTTAAATAGTTACTGAGAATGTAATTTCTTTTGTTTGTTTGTTAATCCTCACCTGAGGATATTTTTCCATTGACTTTTAGAGAGAGTAGAAGGGGGAGGGAGAGACAGAAACATCAGTGTGAGAGACTCAAATCGATTGAATGTCTCCTGGCATGCGCCCCAGCCAGGACTGGGGAACTTGCAACCAAGGTATGTGCCCTTGACTGGAATTGAACCCAGAACCCTTCAGTCCTCAGGCCGACACTCTATTCACTGAGCTAAATACTTAGGATGCCAATTTCTTATTGTAAATATTGATATTTAAAATAAAACATTTTTTTAAATTTACAGTTCAGTATATATTTTTGATCAGATGAATTTCATTCCACTTTGCTATGAAATTAAATGAGAGGTGCCACAAGACCGGGTTATTACTTTGCCTTGCATTTTTCTCAAAAACTGAATCTGCTCAAGCAATTGAACAAGCACATGATTGAGACTCAATTCTTTGCCATGCTGTATGAATGAGATGATTTCTTCTGTATATTTTTAAAGGCTGCTGTTATCTGACATAGGTAGGCTTAAACTATAGGATGAGTGCCAGTCTGAACTCTGTGTGCCTACAGAACACATTAGCCTCAAACTTCACCCAGCAGAGGAGCGGATAGAACCAAGGGTATATGGTTGTTTATAGGGTTCACTTACAAATCAGATGTTTGTATCATCTTTTGTGAACACGAATCTCCTGACCATTTTTTTGCTAGTGGAAAATAGAACAAAATGTATTTATGTAGATTTGCTGAAATTTAAAATGTTCATGGCCAAAACCGGTTTGGCTCAATGGATAGAGCGATGGCCTGTGGACTGAAGGGTCCCAGGTTCGATTCCAGTCGAGGGCATATGCCTTGGTTGCAGGTACATCCCCAGTGGGGGGGGAGGGGGGTGCGAGAGGCAGCTGATCAATGTTTCTCTCTCATCGGTGTTTCTGGCTCTCTGTCCTTCTCCCTTCCTCTCTGTAAAAAAAATCAATAAAATATATTTTAAAAAATAAAATAATATGTTCATGGCATAACATTGAAAACAGTGTCCCCTATGTCCATCTTTGGCTCTTTTATCTTTTTAGTGAATTTAAAACAGGTCTCTATAAAGATAGATCCACAGGAAATTGATAGCATTAGTTGCCTCTGAGAAGGGGAACTGAGTGGGACAAACCTTTTGTATCGATTGGCTTTAAGCCATCTGAATGCATTGCATATTCAATTTTTTATAACAACTTGATGGGATCTAAAGTTGTGCAAAGTTTTACAGGACGGAACCCTTTAACTGCTGGAATCTGATGCTGTCTCCATGTAGACTGTCAGAATTAAGCTGAATTGTAGGACACCCAGCTGTTGGGTGAGAATTGCTTGGTGTGGGGAAGACACACACATATTGTAATTGGTATCAGAATCATAGGAAACAAATGGATGCTGAGTTTAGGTGCTAACAGAAAGGAAACAAGAACACTTTGTTAGAATATCTGCATCTAAGTTAAAAACAAATTATCAGGCTAATAGGAAAGCTTTAAAGTAAAAGAAAGTGGTCAAACTCTGGTTTCATCTTTCTCCTTCAGCATTTAAGCAGTAAAGAGTGTAAACTACAGATTTGGTCGGTATGTTCAGTGGTTACAGCATTGGCCGGAGCACCAAAGGCTTATAGGTTCAAGTCCCAGTCAAGAGCACATACTTGGGTTGCAGGTTTGATCCCCAGTGTGCAAACGCTGTGTCTCTCTCTCACATAGTTCTCTCTCTCTCCTTCCCTTCCACTCTTTCTTAAAAAAATCAATGGAAAAAATACCCATTTTTGTGAGGATTAACAACAAAAAAAAAGTGCAAACTAGAGAATAAATGTTTGTCTACATACTTTGCCCAAAGGAGAATATACTTCAGAAAGGTAACTATGTTCATTGGGAAAAGGGATATAATATTTAATAGTTCAGGACAGTCCTGGAAAGAATCTTCTATCTCACGGAAGGAATTCCTGATGAATCCCAAGAGGCCAGGAAAGCTGCTCACAATGCTGCCTCCCCTCTCACACACAGACAAATCACTCTTATTCAGGAGACAGAGACACTATCAGAGCTACTTTCTATTCTCACCTGGGTCCAAAGAAGGCACCCAAATACATACTTTTTTCTTAAAAACATACTTCATACTTGATCTGATGATTTCTGTTTTTTAAATGCAATCCATCAAATGCTTTTTCTATTTCCTAAGTTATTTCTATTTAAGTACAAAACAGTTTGTTTTAATAATCATATGCAGAATTCCAGAGATAGACAGCTCCATTTGTCAATTTGTTTTAGGTCTTTTAGTTTGTTTTCACAACACTTACCGTATTTTTCAGACCGTAAGACGCACCGGACCATAAGACGCACCAGTTTTTAGAGAAGGGAAATGAAGAAAAAAAGATTCTGAAACAAATAGTGTCCTAAAATATTTTATGTGCATTAAAACCCAACATCACAGTCATAAACACATGTAATCAACCCTGTAAACGGCAGCATTTAGAACCATTTTAGAGCCGGGCAAGCACACAGAGACCACACAGAGCTGGGCAAGTAAAAAAACTTTTTTTTTAAAGTATATGTGTAGGCTATATTTGGACCATAAGACGCAGGGACTTTTTCCCCCCACTTCTGGGGGGGAAAAAGTGCGTCTTATGGTCTGAAAAATACGGTAGTTTCTATTTCCATTGCTCTGTTGTTGTTTTTTTGTTTTGTTTTGTGCTCTTAATCTCCCATGATTTAACTTTAATTTAAACCTCAGACTTGGGAACCATCTCTTCACATCCTTGTAGTTAATTGTTCATCTACCTGAATGTCTTGCATTTGACTGAACATGCCCAGTTCTTTTAACAGTGTCTCATAGGTCTAATTTCATAGACCTTTAATCAGTTGCTCTTCTCCTCTGAACATTCTCCAAGTTATTTCTCTTTATATAGGATGGCATGTAAAATTAAATATAGTTTGTTCCAACTGAAGCCTGACCAATGCCAAAAAAAATAAGCGCTTCTCTTCTTTTTTCACACATATGTCTTACTACAATCCTGTAAAGTATTTATCTTATTTCAACATAGAGACTCATCCAACTTAGCATCAACCATAATTATTGGATCGCACTTGGCTTTGTTTCAGCTATGCTGTCTTAGCTAGTATTTCCACGTGTTTGTTGCAATTCAGCAGCCTATTAAAATTAAAGGTTAAGCCCATAAAAGAATTTCCTTCATATATTTTTCTTTTGAAGATTGTTCTAAGAACAATTGGTATAAATAAGAACTTAGAGCTTGGGGGTCTCCAGAACTAAAGCTTGAATGATTCAGAGTACTTTTGTGATATGAGCTGGAAAGGATGCAAATGGTTAGATACCAGGAGAGACTGCAAAAACTGTGA